GTTGGTGTTTAACAGGAACAGAATTTCTGTTTGGGAAGAGGAAGAGTTCTGGGTATGGATGGTGTTGACAGCAGCAGAACGTGAATGTGCGTCACACTACTGAACTTCACACTTAAAAATGGTTTAGAGAGTAAACTTTATGTTATGCATCTTTTACCACAATTAAAAATTTAAAAAGCAAAGTAACCCTCTTATAGTTATATGGGAACTGACCCTGGGGGCAGATGATGGGGCTTGGCAGGAAGGCAAGTGTGGAAGGCAGATCAAGGGGTGGCCAGGAGGATGCTACTGTAACGGTCCAGGTGAAAGGAGGAGGAGGCTGGAACTAGAGTAGCAGTTGTGGAGGTAGGGAGATGGGGTGTGTTCCAGTTAAATTTTGAGGTTGAAGCAAAAGGACTGCTGTAGGATTGGATATGGGGTCTGAGAGAAAGTGGGGCCAGGGATTTTGGCCTGGGGAAGGGGATGGAGAGAGGTAGAAGGGTAGAAGGGACAGTTGCTTGGCGCACTGAGTTCAAGAAGTGTGAGCATATCTAAATGTCAGGATGATCCCAGCCATGTAGCAGTGAACGGTGGCTCAAAGTGAGATCTGAATTCCATGCCCAAGAATTGAACCTGGGTAGTTTGGATGAAAACCAGGAATCCTAGCCACCAGACCAGCAAGGGCCAGAGGCTAGAAGCTATTTTTCCCTGGATCTTTGCCCCCGGTGAAAACTGTATTTCTCAGTGAAGCAAGAACTGTAAATGCAGACAAAAAGTTTATTTAGAGACATAGCACAAGTGAGAGAGCAGGTAGAGAAACTGTTTCGTTAAAATAGAAGCAAGGCGGAGACACACACAGAGAGAAAGTGTGTGGGCATTCCCACTAGTGAGGAGGAGCATAGAAAAGAGGTGGTTAAGTCATTTATATAGGACAGTTCTTCCGGGTTTTGTTTACCTTTAACCAATTATCTGGTTTCTTTTTCCACACCTGACCAATCCTAGGACCCTCCCCAAGATGGATGTGCAACTTTTTTTCCAAGATGGGTCCCAGCCCAGTGGTCTATGTGATCCACATATTAGCATCACATATTATGGGGTGATGCCCCCTCCTTTTTTACCCCCAGGAGCCTTTCTGTTTGTGAAATGTCTCCCTTGCCCCAAGGATGGGAAATATATGATGTCCTGATCTTTTAAGAGGGTTTAGTCCCACTGTCCCTGCCATAAAAATGCCCAATGTCTGGTTATTTACTCTATTCCTCTGCTGGTTTTTATATCGAGGTATAGATCTCAAAATATAGGCAGGAATCCAGTGATAAATATGTCATCCTGGAGCCCATTTGTCTCTTGCTTCAGCAAATGTAAACAGGGGGCTGGTTATGAATATCCTACCTGGAACTCAACTTCTTCTCACCCCAGGAGGTGTGAATAGGAGGCCAGTTATAAATACCTATCCTGGAGCCCATCTATCTCCTGCTTCAGGACTGCTTGGCAATAGTCTGGGCCCAGGCCATAGGAAACCAACAGCCCCCACTTCCCACTTCTGGGACAGCTACCCTTGAATCCCAGCCCCCACCCGTAAAGAATACTCAGGCCATGTGTGGTGTTTCTACCCAGAGTCCCAGCTGAGGTCCCAAACAACTAGGGTCAACTAAACTGAGTGAGTGAACACCTCTAGGAGATCTCAGGCCTGGATCCTGCTAACTGCAGCAGTGGGGGAGGGACGCCTGCAAGAACCCACAGCACTAAGAGAGATGACAACTTGGCGGCTGCGGTTTACAGCCACCGAGTTTTGGGATGACTCACTATCCAGCAGTGCATAAATGTGACACACAGCTAACCAAATTGTTGAGGAATCAATATGAGGCACAGTTTTGTTTTGTTTTTTCCCCAACTGCTGTGCCCCAACCGATGGGGAATGAAGTCTCCCTTGGGTCATCACAGCCTGATTCTTCACAGCTACTTCTGGTGACAAGAATGGTGCTGCTCCAGTATTTAGGGCTGGCTGGCGTTTCTCTGATAAAGTAGCTGTCATAGCAACTGAAAACCATGGATCTCATCAGCACCAAATGTTAAAGAGCTGATGCAGGATGACATGGTAGCCCTGGTGGGACTCTTATCTGTACCTGCTCCCTCTTCTTCTGCACACCCCGGAGAGTCACCCTGCTGGGCCCCGAGGTCAGTCTGGTTGACATGTCCTACACAGAAGTGAGGTGTGTCCCCTCCACTGATGATGAAAGAAGCTCCAGCATCCCTTCTTGTTCCTGGAGATTGTGGAGGTGGAAGTTGGATAGGGCTGCTCCACTAGGTGAGGACCCGACAACTCCGCTGAGCAGAGCCCCTGCTGACTGAACTGGACACACATCCGAGCAAGGAGTAAATGACGCTGTTTGAGCCCCTGAGACTTAGGGGGTTGTTATGAACTGAGTGTTTATTCCCTTCAATCCATATACTGAAGCCCTAGTTCCCACTGTGGCTATGTGTCAGAGCTGGGCCTTTAAGGAAGTGCTTAGGTAAAACAATACAATTGCACTCATCTCACATGCTAGTAAAGTGATGCTCAAAATTCTCCAAGCCAGGCTTCAGCAATATGTGAACCGTGAACTTCCAGGTGTTCAAGCTGGATTTAGAAAAAGCAGAGGAACCAGAGATCAAATTGGCAACATCCACTGGATCATCAAAAAAGCAACAGAGTTCCAGAAAAACATCTATTTCTGCTTTATTGACTGCGCCAAAGCCTTTGACTGTGTGGATCACAATAAACTGTGGAAAATTCTTCAAGAGATGGGAATACCAGACCACCTGACCTGCCTCTGGAGAAATCTGTATGCAGGTCAGGAAGCAATGGTTAGAACTGGACATTGAACAACAAACTTGTTCCAAATAGGAAAAGGAGTACGTCAAGGCAGTATATTGTCACCCTGCTTATTCAAATTATATGCAGAGTACATGATGAGAAACTCTGGGCTGGAGGAAGCACAAGATGGAATCAAGACTGCTGGGAGAAATCAATAACCTCAGATATGCAGATGACATCACCCTTATGGCAGAAAGTGAAGAAGANCAGGGAGGCCTGGCGTGTTGTGGTTCATGGGGTCACAAAGAATTGGACATGACTGAGCGACTGAACTGAACTAGGGTAAAACAAGGTCTTAACGTTGTGGTTCTGACCCCATAGGACGAGTATCCTAGGAAGAGACATCAGAAAGCACTCTCCCTCTCTATGGACACACTCCAAGGCCACATGAGGACACAGCAAGAAGGCGGCCACCTGCAAGCCACTAAGAGAGCCCCTAACAGAAAACAAATCAGCCAGCACTTAGTTCTCACCTCCAGGACTGTGTGATATAAATCTATATTGTTTAAACTACCTGTTCTGTGGTATTAGAGCTGCCTGAGCTGACTGAATCAGGGGCTGTCAGTTTCAGCAGCATAGTCTCACCCATGCTGATACAAAAAGTGGTAAATGTTTCCTGAGCCAAGAAAGCAAGTGTGGCAGTGGGCCATGTGGCCAATAAGGGCAGTATTGCAGGTACCAAGGGTTGTCCATGGGGGGTTAAGCCTGGTAAGCAAGAAAAGGTGTTCCCTCCTCTTTCTTCCCAGTAAAAGTTGGAATTGGTTTTAGGGGAGATTTGGGGCTGGCTCCCCCTTCCGCTTCTCCTCTGGTGCTAAGTGAAGCCCTCTGTTCTAAAACGCCTGTGAAAGGATGTTGCTCTCTTTCTGCTCCTTGGCAAGATTGTCTCCTAATCCAGCTAAGACTCCTGGCCTTGGTGTAGACAGGTCAGGGTCCAGCGTGCTGCACCCCAGAGGCCTCATGCCCCTCTAGCTCTCCTGAGCAATGACTCTGAGGTTCAGCCAGTACTCTCTCCAGCTGGGCACCACATCACTCCCTTCCCACCCCTGCAGCACCCTGTGGCCCTCTGGACACCTATTCCTGTAACTCTCAGCTCTTGGGAGCTGGAGCAGGGTGGCGCCATCCTCCTGGCTCCACTTCACCCCATCCCTCCTGTCCTCTGCTCCAGTAGCCCAAGGTCCAGGCACCGGGGACAAAGCACCCACTTCCTGTTGAAGGCACTCTGCAGGATCAGGGCGGACCTTCCACCCCTGTCTGGCCCCACAAAGTTGAGCCCACAGGACACTTGGAGGCACAGAGCTGAGGGCGACTACTTGCCCCTCCCAGAAAAGCTGGAGAGGGCCTGAGTCTACCAGGGACTCCATAGCATGAATGCTGCACTATCTGGTTGCGGGCTGGGTCCGGGCTTGCCCTCCAGTGCCCCCTGCATGACCTTCTCCTCACTGGAGAAGCACACACACCTTCTGGCCTCAGAATTCCTCACTGGAAGCCACATGATGGAATAGCGTCCCAGACCAGAAAGGATGTTGGCACCAATGTAGCAGCTGAAAATGTGGAACCACCCAAGTGCCCCCTGCTGGAGGCAGGACAGATGGACTGCCCCGTGTAACCTGTATCAAGATGTATTTGGTAGTGACGGAAACCATGACGAACATGGCTTCAGGGTAGCACAGGCTCTTTCAGGACCACCAGCTCTTCTTCGTCAGGCTCTTCTCCTTACATCCTCAGCATGACTGCAGGGCCTCCAGGAAGCAGGAAAGTTCAGAGAGCAAACACCAGTGAGGTTCCTCAATGGCCAGACAGATCACACCCCAAATCTCAGAAGGCTGGAAGTCGGATTTCAACTGGTTCAGGAGAGAAGTGGAGTCCAAGTACCTCCCCTCATTGAATGAAACACAGAAGTAGTGACCGAGGGTGATTTCGGAGGCCCTGAAAGGTAAGGTTTGCACTTGGGACTCTCACTGTGGAAACCAGCTGCCGTGATGTGAGGAGGCCTGGCCACTCGAGGTGGTCACCACTTCGTGGGTCTCTGGGGACACCTGGCAGCAATCCACCTGACCACAAGCACACGGGAGGAGCAAGCAGAGCCCAGCAGTCCTGGAATCCCAGGCTGTAATAACGAGAAACTACAGTTTTATGCTGCTACACTTGAGGCTCCGTTACACAGGGATTGAAAACTGAGACAGTAATTCTTACCTTTATTGTTTTTCAAAAAATTGTTTATTTCATACCCCTTACCACAACTTTACAGATAATGGATGCAGCATCCCAGCTGGGTCTCTGCTTGTAGGTACAAGGCAGCCAGCTGTAACTGTTGAGTCTGCTGTCATCTCCTCCACTCTGCTATGCAAAACTAGACGTGCCTAAAATGTCCTCCAGTCTCTTCAAAGGAGCCTCACTAGAGGGAGGCTGCAGCTGGTTTTGTGAACCTCAGTGGTGGTTTCAAGGAGCCCTGTCTATAAAAACAGCTATGGCTGGGCTCCCCTGGGACAGGTCACCCCCTGAGAGGGTCCCCAACTCAATGCTCTGAGGGATCTCTAAGCCCGGAAGCTGATTTCACTGACCAATCTTGAGCTGGACACATGTCGAGATGCAGGTGTCAGCTGGTAGGGTCGTCCTGGCCTTCCCACTGTGGAGGGCAGGCTCTGGTCTCTGCTTTGGTCACCCTGGGACATAGGCTGCAGGCTGTCTGAGCATCACAGTTGGCCTGGAGGGAGGCAGGATCTGCCCTGGGTTTGCTGTATGCACCATCACCTGGGCATGGGGTGAGCTGGTGGGGCCACTAGCGGTCCAGAAGTCCTTGTCCATGCCTCGGGCCACGCTGGCCAGCTCTCTGGTACCCTCGCCAAGGTCTCTGCAGGAAAAGGAAGGGTGAGCTTGGGGGAACAGTGAGGGCTCCATTTAACTCCAACTTTGCCCCCATGCCGGGTACCCAGGCCCTGGTCTGCAATGGGTCTGGGATAGATTGCTGCCCCAAGGTGAGGGCCCCTGTTTTCTCTTGCCTTGCACCCAAGGAGGCCCCTCCATAGGTGCCTCTCACTGAGCCTCAAGTCCTTCCTTCATACAAGAGGGATGACTGAAGGGGCAGCACGCTCACCTTCCTGGGCCTTTCTAGAAGGAAGCTTTTTCAGAGTGTAAACCATGTGGAAACAGCATGCCTTAGGCAGAGAAGGGACACTGGGGTCCCAGGAACATTCTGGAGGACACCCTCACTCTTGCCAGGCTCTCCTCTGGCACTTTGGGGCCAGATCTCCTACCTTCTATATCTTCAGTTCCCTTGTGGCCTCCTCTAGCCCCCAAGCCACAAACCCACCCAATTTCCAAGCTGAGCAAACCCTGGCCCCCACCTTTGTCCACCTGGCCCTGCTCCCACCCACTTACACTGGTTTCTGCTTCCCGAGGCTGCCTGGCTACTTCTTCCCCTTAAGATGCGCTCTCTCTCCTCTCCAATACAGGCTCTCCCAATCTATTCACCTCAGGCACCACTTCTTCCAGGAAGCTTTCCCAGATTTCTGTTCCCACCCACATCTAGTTCTCAGGAAAGCTCTAAGAAGTAATAGGAATTACATCATCTGTTGGTTCAATGAATAGGTGAGTGAATAAACTAACTAGCGGAAAGGAAAATCAGCTTAGTAAGCAAGTCCACTGACTTTGGAGCTAGACTTTGGAGCTGACTTCAAACCTAGCTTCATGCTTAGCAGTTGTGTTATTCTGGACAAGTTTCTCAAAATGGGATAAAAAAATAGTCCCTACTCCTATGGTTAGAACAAGTAATGTCTGGAAAAGCTTAGAACAGTGCCTGGCACAATGTGAGTGCGGAGAAGCATTTATGAAAGAAAAGTTAAGGTCAAGGGGCAAACCTCACCTTACTAAATATGATTTCAACACCAATCAGTGGGAGAACTGGGGCATCTAGGCCTTGCCTAGGATGGTACATCCTGAAATGCAACAATTCCTTCCCCTATTCCATTGGGGCCCTTCCCAACTGAGACACCAGACAGTATGTCACAGGTCTATAATGGGGAGAGGGTGTCACAGGGCAGGGTGTAATGAAGAGGCTCTGAAACCTGCCAAGGAAATGTGACTATATGAAAAGGATATGCACTACCAATATATCCTGAACATAATCTGAAAATAACTGAAACAAAAAGGAAAGTGCTGGCAGCTGGCTGATGGGTAAGGATCTCTTCTACAATGTACATGGTGCTTCCAGTACTGATGAGAAAAAACATCAGGCAATTCAGCAGAGCAAACCAAAAATGTCTAAAGCCAGCAATGCGACTAGTAAGCAAAAGGCAGGAGAAAATGCTCTTTCTCAATATTAATCAAATAAGTGCTGATGAAAGCCACCGATGTAACTCACACTTGCTAGGGAAGTGATGGAAAACAAATCATTAACGTTTGGCAATGGTTAGCTGTAAAAATGGCTCAACTGGTGCTGGGTTCCTGGAGAAAGAATATGGTAATAAAAATATTCAGACTTACTTGACCTAAACAATCTGTTCCTAGGATCGTCCCAAAACACCATCTCAAAAAAGAAAAACAGCTCTAAGTACAGGCATTTGCCTAAACCTGAGCACAGCACTTGAAGTATTTGGAGTGAAGCTCCAGGGGCCTCAGACCACCACGGCCACACAACGTGTCAGGTCAGGTGGAAAGGGTGCAAGGTGGCATTCCTGCCATGGCCACCACCATGTATGTCTAACGTGTGTCCGAAGTTCAAGGAAAGGAGGTAGGAAGCCAATTCCTTCCCAGAGGCCTTACCACTCCAGGAGTCAGCCAGCCCCAGCACTGTGAGTGTGGACGTGGGATCAGACAGGCCCCTGCTACTCCTGCACAGGCCACCACCTCTAGCACCTCAGTTTCCTCACGTGCATACCAGGGACAAGAGAAGAATGAACAACAACGGCTGGCACTCACTGAAACTGTACTCCAGGCCCAGTCGAGCCCACTGACCTGTATCACCTCAACAGGGCCAAGAAGTGAGGCCCACCATAATCCTCACTGTACAAGGCTGGCAAACAAGGCATCAACAGCTGTCACACAGAGAGGTGTCAGGCTCAAGCAACGGGCTCCCTGGGAGGTTCCTGGGGGGACGGACCGAGGAAATGAGCAGAAACTGACCTTGCGATGCCAGGGAGGGGCAGAGAAAGCACTCACTGGGCCAGAACATCCTGTGCGAGAGAGAAGGTGCTGCAACTACGGAAGCCAGCAAGCCTAGAGCCCACGCTCCGCAATAAGAGAAGCCTGCATACTGCAACAAAGAGTAGCTCCCACTTGCTACAACTAGAGAAAGCTCCCACGCAGCAACAAAGACCCAGCACAGCCATAAATAAAAATTTTTTTTAAAGATTGAGAAAAGAATACCTATGAGTTCAGAGTGATACAAAAACAACAAAACAAAACGAAAAGGAAAGGAAGGATAAGACAAAATCCATCTTCATTCCTCAGAGAGGGAATAACAGAATCACAATGGAATTAAAATCATTATTCCATAACCCCCACGGCCAAAACTGATTCTGGCTGGATCATCCCTGGATGCTAAGGCTACAGGTCAGGGGTCATGGGGGCAGCAGAGTGACCCTTAGCAGAATCCTGTCTTTGTCACTTGACAACGGGCTCATCTCAGCCAAGAGGGCCCAGACCTCATGCCTTCAGGGCGATAGCCCAGCCTACATCCATGATTCACACCAGTACCACTCACGGGGCACCTGCACCAGAAATGCTGCCCAAGTGAGTCATGCAGGAATGCCAAGACAGTCCAGAATACAGTCTGTAGGAGACCACTGACTGGCCTTGAGTGTGCCAAGGGAATCACCACCAAAGACAAACATCCTGCCCAATTTAAGGAGCCCAGACACCGGGAGGCCCTGGGACAGAGGGTGCTCACTCAAAGCTGGTAAAAACACTGGGCGATGTTCTATCTGCAGTCCACATTCACCAAAAATAAAACCCCTGAAGCAAAAAAAAAGTATGTAAAAAATGTCCTTGAATTGGTTCATAAAAAGTGTGTGTCTGTGTGTTTTGAAAGAGAGACAAGGAGAGACAGAGGGGCAGGGAGAGAGATGGGAAGACAGAGCAAACTGACAGGGCCCTGTGGGTCCTGGTGAAGGGTAATATTCATTTCCGGAAGCTTCCTTCTCTGGACACGGGGTGACAAGATAAAGACACGGAGTGGAGGGCAGCTCCAGGTACTAGGGTACACGGTCAGGCACAGGTTGCAGAAGGACCATCAGCTCATCTGACAGATGGGAGTCGAGGCCTTGGTGGGCCTGGACTCACAGCATGTGCGGACTGAGAGCACCCTTGGTGTCGTGTCCAGGTTCTCTGGCCAAGCCAGGCACCTCCCACCCCGCCCTTATCACTGCCCTGCCGCCCTCCTTGCCCTGTCCATGCCCACGTGGTGAAGCTGCGATTGTCGTGCACTTGGACAGGCTGGATCCTGGACCCTCCACTAATGCTGCTGTCACTGTTGACGCCCTTAAGGCCGAGGTAGGGAGCCTGCATCATCTCCAAATCCTCGCCTCTCAGCTGGAGCCACAGTTGGTTTGCCCTGGGGAGAGATGGGGGAGAGACATTCAGGTGCAAGCGTGTCCTGCAAGCTTCTGCAAGGCCAAGAGTGAGAATTTTAGGGCTGGACACTTCTGCTGCTGTAGGGAGAAGGCAGTCATGGGTGATGAGCAAGTGCCAGAAAAACCACATACAAAGACAGGTGGTGGAAAGTTCTTGCGATGAATCAAGCCAATGATGACACAGCACTGTGAATATAACCAATACCCCTGAATTGTGCACTGAAAGATGCTTCTCATGGTAACTTTTATTATGTTGTAAATATTTTACCACAGTTAAAAAAAAAATACCCCACAAAACCCACCTCCACACACACACACACAAAACGGGGTAAATTTTTGCAAAGAAAAGTAGAGGTGAGTCAGACTCCACCTGCAGGCCCCTCGTGCGGTCAGCCCTGCACATCCACACACAGCAGAGCATACACTGGGGGTGTGCACAGTCTGGGGGTGTGCACAGTCTGCAGAATGAGAAGGGCCCCCATGTCCCTGTCACCTGTCTTACCAAAGACCAGACAAGTGAGCCATGTACCCCCCACGGCCTAGATGCTCTGTGAACAGCAAGAGGCCACGATCGCAGCAGCCCCGCTCCCTGACACCCCTCGGGGTCCCGAAGTGCCCAGCAGGTGTCAGGTCACTGTACCTGTCGGATCGCCGCTGCTCACCCCTCTTCACACACTTCACTAAGCAGCAGGTGAGGAAGGCCATGGACATGAGCATGATGATGGCGCAGCTGATGACTGAGGCGATCACAGCCACCTTGAAGCCAAAGGTTTCGTAGGGGGGCACAGCTGTGAGGGAGACAAGACCAGCTCTTGGGCCCAGCCTGCCCTCAGGGAGCCACTGACAGATGAGGTGAAGGTCTGTGAAAACTGTTGTAGGGGTAGGGCTACCAGGTAAGACTGCCCCCAAGAAGCAGGTATTTAAGCAGGGTTTTGGTGAGTGTGTAGGAGTTTTGGGTGGCATACTGGGGGAAGCTCTGACAGGGAGTTCAGTGATGGCCTCTTTGGCTCCATCCCCTGTAGACTGGACTCCTAAGACCAGAGAACAGTAGACAACACATGGTCTATTTTCACAATGCTGCAAGCTGGCAAAACCCTTTGGGGGCCTATGTGCCTTCTTAGGTCACTTTCTAGGAAGGTGTGGAAAAAAGGAAAACACCGGTATTTGGGGTCAAAGGGCCTTTGGCACATTATCAGCTATGTGCCGAGTACTAGGTCTATCAGGTTCTAAAGGATGTTCTCGAAATTGAGGCCCAGAATCCTAATTTGAACAACATTGCATATTTTCCCATGTAGTAGATATGGATCATGCTTTCCATTTCCTAGTCCCTCTGCCCTAACTGGACACTGGCCATCCTGACTGAAGACTACTACAGTTTCCCTTCACATGACCACATCCTGGCCAGTGGTGAACAGTGGGGCAGGGGTGTGGGACAACTCTAAGAGCCTTTCTTGCCCTGCAACTAATCCTGTAACAACTCCATGGATCATGCAGTTGAGGTCATGCCCAACAGAGCCACAATATGAAAAGAGCCTGGGTCCCCACCAGGGGGCACTATACAGGCCTAGGACTGCCCATCCTGAGGGCCAGATGCAAGAAAAACCTCTCATAATCCCCCATTACTTTGGTAACCCTCATTATCTTGGGTTTTCTATCTCTTGTTGGAGTCTAATCCTAAGAGACACTCTCCTTCTCAGAGATTCAACCACCACAGGAGTATTTTAAAGGCTCTGAGAAGTCCTGCAGCCTGTTAACCCAGTCTTTTCCGAATTATATTGACTACAGAGCCTTTTTCAATGCACAATACACATTAACACAACATACGTAGCCTCACTTTGGAAAATGCTGTGCTAAGTATTATTCTTCAACACCCTGTACAGCAAATATAGAAAACCATCTCCTCCTCCAGACTGAGCCCCACAGCCAGGCAATCCCATTCCCCAGTCCTAGAATTCTTGGCACATGGAATATCCTATTAAGCTTTGCTGAATCTGTGCATGAAATAACACATGAATGAATGCAGTTTTCTGCTTAACAGATAAAAGTGCTAGCTCAGACGCATGAGTCACCTCTTGGAGATGACAGGCCAAGTAAGTGGCAGTGCTAGAATCTGAAGCAACTACTAGAACTTGAGTCTATACTGCCGACATGGAGCCCCAAGTGACCACCAGCCCTGGGAACAGGACCTTATACAGACGCCCATGGGACCTTCTCTGTGGACACCCATGCCACCCATGTGACAAAATCAGCACTCTCCCCAGGGGGCACTGCTGAGCTGGGGGCAGCTCAGGTAGAATGGGCCTCACTCTTGCACATGGGGGTCCCTGAAGACCACTCAGCGATGTTTCCCTTCCAGGCACAGGTGAGGAGGCCAGACCCCACCATCTGGTGGCCCGAGAGGCAGTGGAACACGATGACAGTCCCCACAGAAGTGCCGTCCCCACGAAGTACTTGGAAGGTGCCCTGCAGGGGCTGCCGCATTTGCACACACATGCCTAGGAGAGAAGAGAGGGGAGACAACGTGAGGACCCCACCCTTGGGGGCAGGGGCTTGGCAGGAGGGCTTGGCGGGAGACTGCACCTGGCCCAACGACCGTATGTGCTCTGGAGAAGGTCAGACAGTCACCCAGACAAACGTCAGTGGCATCCATGTGGTCAAAGTGTAATCCCTACATTAAGTGAAATCTAGAGGTGCTGAGACCATGGTGTTGATAAAAGAAACACACATCTATCCAAGTGCAGCTTAAAAGGCAGAATCAAGGGGGGAAAAAAAGGAAGGAAAGAGATTGACAGATGTGATTTCATGAAAAGTAAACAACACAAACTTTTGTCATTCCCTAATAATTGAAAACTCCTTCATGGATCACAACTTTGTCATGGAGAAGGGGCCTGCATGACTCAATGAAGCTATGAGCCAGGCCGTGCAGGGCTATCTAACACAGACAGGTCTGAGTGAAGAGTTCTGACAAAAGTGGTTCACTGGAGGAGGAAATGGCAAACCACTCCAGTATTCTTGCCACAAGAACCCCAAGAACAGTATGAAAAGGCAAAAAGGTATGACACCGGAAGATGAGCCCCCAAGGTTAGAAGGTGTCCAATATGCTACTGGGGAAGAGCACAGGGCAATTACTGAAAACTCCAGAAAGAATGAAGAGGCTGGACCAAAGCAGAAATGATGCTCAGCTGTGGATGTGTCTGGTGGTGAAAGTAAAGTCCAAAGCTGGAAAGAACAATATTGCACAGCTGAGCACTGAAGAATTGATGCTTCTGAACTGTTGTGCTGGAGAAGACTCTTGAGAGTTCCTTGGATTGCAAGGAGATCAAACCAGTCAGTCCTAAAGGAAATCAACCCTGCATATTCATCGGAAGGACTGATGCTGAAGCTCCAACACTTTGGCCACCTAATGCAGAGTCAACTCGTTGGCAAAGACTCTGATGCTGGGAAATACTGAAGACAAAAGGAAAAGGAGGTGGCAGAGGATCAGATGGTTAGATACCATCACTGATTCAATTGACATGAATTTGAGCAAACTCTGGGAGAAGGACAGGGGAACCTAATGTGCTGCAGTCCATGGGGTCACAAAGCATTGGACATGACTTAGCAACTGAACAACAACAATCACTGAAAAGCAAATTTAGATGAAAAAATTAGGAAAAGATATTTGGAAAACACAGGACAAAAGTTCAACACCTGTAATTTATAAAGAGATCTTAACGCATCAGCAAAAGCTGAACATCCAAGTAAAACAGAATGAACTGATGTGTGAACAAGCTACTCATAAGAAACAAGTAGCCAACAGATACGAGAAAATGCTTGCCTTCGTAGTTAACTGTGAGTGCTAAGTCGCTTCAGTTGTGTCCGACTCTTTGTGACCCTATGGACTGTAGTCCGCTAGGCTTCTTTATCCATGGGATCCTCCAGGCAAGAGTACTGGAGTGGGTTGCCATGCCCTTCTCCAGGCGAGCTTCCTGACCCAGGGATAGAAACCAAGTCCCTTGTATCTCCTGGATTGGCGGGTTCTTTACCACTAGCACCACCTGGGAAGCCTTCATAGTAACTGAAGAAACACTAATTCAAATGAGAGCTAATCTTTCACTCCTCCACTTGCAAAACGTAAAAACAAATAAACAAACAAAAAAAACCCCACATGTGAACTTAGCAAGGGCCTGAGAACAACTCCTCTCTGACTTGCTGATGGGGGTGCAGACCCAAATCTTTCTGGACAGGGTTTGGTAAAGTGTATTCACAGCTTTATGCCTGTATATAAATCTGAGAATTTAGCCAAAGTAAATATTTACAATCTGCTGCCAGGATTTCTATAACAAGATATTTGTCTACATCCACATCTCCAGCTGTGGGCATCAGTGCAGTTAATCAGAGTACATCTGACATGAATGACAGCAATGATATCCTAAAGCGTTACAATGATGTCCTTATGTAAGGACATATACAGAATTTACTGTGTGCTGGATGCTGTTCTAAATGCTTTACATGTATTAACTCATCAATCCACAAAATACCTCCCCATTTGGCAGGGGAGCAAACTGAGGCACAGAGTGGTTTAACCATTTCCTGAAGTAACACAGCTCCTATGCTGTAGGGCAGAGATTCTGAACCACACAGGAGGATCTGGGCCTACCCTCTCGATATACACATGTGATAGACACATCATGTGTCCTTAGTGTCTGGCTTCCCTTGCTTAGCATGAAAGAGGTGTGCTGCGTGTGTTGGCAGCTGTCCGTATTTACGGTGGAGCAGAGCCCCACTGTACGGATGCCCCGTATGCTTCCCTGTTCCTGCTGACAGATGGATGTGTGCGTTGTTTCTGGCCTTCAAGAATATAGAATGAAGCGGCTACTGATGTTCTGGAGCATGCCTCCTTGTGCCCAAGTGCAAGAGGCTCTTCCTTCTGCTTTTCTGGAACTTTCTGACTGCACTACTGGTAAGCAGTATATAAGCACTATAAAGTGCTTAGCCTCAAAAAGGAGAAAAGGGAGACTGGTTGAGCTGGCTGTCCAGCCTGTGTCTGTGGCCACAATGACCAGAGGCAGCATCTGTGTTCAACTCCCTTGCTAGGTGGGAGCAAGGGTTGGGACTGGGACAGGGGCTAGCGCTGCCCAGGCTGAGGACCCTGTTATTCCACACCAACCTCAAACAGTGCTGCGCCTGACCTACATGGGATGATGCCTCCAGCCAGGACCGTGCCCTGGGCACCAGGCATAGATGTCCTAAGGCCCACTCAGCCCACCACACCCAGCCAAGCTCCTGCCCTGGCCAACCTGCTCATCACTTGACTCCCCGAGTCTAACTCTGATGTTAGCCACCAGTTCCTCTCTTCTTTACTTGCTCTAGCCCTCACATTTAGAACCTCCCTGGACTTCCTTTTCTCAGTCCACAACCAGTTCACCAGCAAACTCTGTGAGCTCTGTTTTCAAAATACACACCCAGGACATACGTAGTAGGCTGGAGAGTCCTCCAAAATCCGCACCCACCTGGAAGCAGCCCCACAGGGGGTCGACGGCGGAACGCATGGGACACGGAGTCATACAGGTTGTGGGGGCAGAGCATGCCTGCGACTGCCCAAAGGGCCATGGCGCTCACTCAGGAGGGTCACACACATGCACTCACATACCTCGTGACAGACCTCCATGTCTGCGCACAACCAGCCCCGTCCAGAGGGGAAATCGAGGCTCAAGAAGGTCAGGCCGCCCCCTGCATGAACCTGCTGGCCCTGCCCCACTTAGGGTGAGGGTGTTAACAGGGCAGTGAGAGAGCTAGGCTTCAGCCTCGGTCCTGCATTCTGCCCTCAAGGAGGCCAAGGCTGCCCCAAGACCCTTGGTGTGGGGCAGCGACAGTCAGAGACATCATTTGGGTGAGGTTGGCCAAGCTGCATGTAGTCTATGCCTTTGCCCCACCATACCAAGAACCTGGCTGGTGCCTCATCAGGCTAAAAGGCTGGAGAGAGGAGTCTGTGCCTGGGGCGTCCTTGCAGCTTGTGTACCTAGCAGGGAGTGGGGACTGACAGTTGGAAGAACGTAAGCAACACTGGGCACCTAATGGACGGTTCACTACATTTCAGCCATATGAGAAGACCACCCATCTCCACCTCACAGATGGGGAAACTGAAGCACAGCAAGGCTGGATGACATGCTGAGGGTGATGGGGTGGAAGTGTGCTAGGCCACGGCTGTCATGTAAACCACACGTCTGGGAGGATTTGGGCTTCCCTGTCTGAGATGTCCACTGTTGGTGTCACATTAACAATAGCAATGCAGGTCTGATAGAAACATCTGGTCAAGAAGGACCCCAATTCCTGCCCTCATGTGGCACTCAACTGTCTGCAGAGGAGAACAGTCATTATATCATTTTAACATGAGCAACCAAGCTTGGAGAGGTGGCTGGCCCGCCCAACACCCACAGATAGAGAGGGAACCCACAGACAGGACTGACACACAGCTTAAGATTCCTAATCAACAGCAGAACAGAGGAGTGTGGGCATTTGCAACATACGTGTAACAGAGCATCTTTCTTATATAAACAGCACTTACACAAGACAAAAGTCACAACAGAAAAAATGGTTATGTTAGGAAAAAAAAAAATGGAAATGGTCCCAAACTAGTGAGCAGAGCAATTAATTAAGAAAATTAAACAGCATCCATATTAGGAAGGAAGAAGCAAAGCTTCTCTATTAGATGGCATGATCCTATATCTAGAAAATCCCTGGGAAACTGCTAAAAAAATTCTACAGGAACTAATAAATGAGTCCATCAAGATTACGGTATACAAGATCAACACACACAAATCCGTTGTATTTCAGTACAGTGGCAATGAGGGCAAACTAAAAATGCAATTAAGAAAACAATTCCATTTACAAGAGCATCAAAAAGAATAAACTACTTAGGAACAAAATTTAACAAAAGAAGGGTAAAACTGAAACTAAAAATTACAAAGCATGTTTAGAGAAATTAAAGAAGATCTAAAAAAATAGAAATACATGACATACTAGGGGGTCAGAAGATTTAGTATGGTTTAAGATGGCAATGCTCCCCTGCTCACTTAACAGCTTAACCCTTATTCAGCATAACCCAGATTCAGCATAACCCTTATCAGAGTCCTAGCTGCTACTTTCACAGAAACTGACAGACTGATCCTACAAATCATAAGGAAAGGCAAAAAGACTTAGAATAGCACAAACAGAACAATCTTGAAAAAGGAGAACAAAGTTGGAGGATTCATCCTTCCTTAGTTCAAATTTTATCACAAAGCTATGGTGATGAAAACAGAGGACACTGCTATACAGACAGACATGCAGGCCAATGCAAGAATTTAAACTCAAGACATAAACTCCTATTTACAATCAGCTGATTTTCAACATGGATGACAAGACAGTTAAACAGGAGGCGAATAGTTTTTCAATGATTTGGTGCCATGAAAACAAGACTTACATGCAAAAGGAAAAAGTTGGACCTCTCCTTATATCATATAAGAAAATTAAC